AAGGATTTTTGAAGATAGCGTTGCGTGTGAAAATACTTCCTTGCAGCTTCTGCCCACCCTGCAAGGCTTTGCTGTGTCGGAGGGTGAAGCACAGCGAGCGCTTGTGCTGCAGTCCCGGGTGAGCTCTCGTGGGGCTGTTGCTGCCGTTGTGCTCCTGGGAGCTGGGGATCTGCTCTGGTCTGGGAAGAGGCTCTAGAGGCTAAAGGCCTCCTGGAGGGCTTCATTTGCACCCAAGAGTGCTGGGGGAATTGGCCGAGGTTATTGCTCAGCCTCTCTCCATCATCTTTGAGAGGTCCTGGAGAGCAGGGGAGGTGCCCGAGGACTGGAAGAGAGCCAACGTCACTCCAGTCTTCAAAAAGGGCAAGAGGGAGGAGCCGGGCAATTACAGGCCGGTCAGCCTCACCTCTGTCCCTGGAAAGGTGATGGAGCAGTTCATCCTAGACAGAATCTCCAGGCATATGAAGGAGAAGGTGGTGTTGAGGAGCAGTCAGCATGGAATTCACCAAGGGGAAGTCATGTCTGATGAACCTCGTGGCCTTCTATGATGGGGTGACAGGCTGGCTGGACAAGAGGAGAGCCGTGGATGTTGTCTACCTTGACTTCAGCAAGGCTTTTGACACCGTCTCCCATGATATCCTCATACGGAAGCTCCAGGAGAGTGGACTAGATGAGCGTACGGTGCGGTGGATCCAGGGCTGGCTGGATGGCAGAGCTCAGAGGGTGGTGATAAATGGGGCCGAGTCCAGTTGGAGGCCTGTGGCCAGTGGTGTCCCCCAGGGGTCAGTACTGGGCCCAGTGCTGTTCAGTTTGTTCATCAATGACCTGGACGAGGGCATGGAGTGCACCCTGAGCAAGTTTGCAGATGACACCAAGCTGGGTGGAGTGGCCGACACTCCGGAGGGCTGTGCTGCCATCCAGAGGGATCTGGACAGGCTGGAGAGTTGGGCAGAGAGGAACCTCATGAGGTTCAATAAGGACAAGTGCAGGGTCCTGCACCTGGGGAGGAATAACYCCAGGCATCAGTACAGATTAGGGGTSGACCTGCTGGAAAGYACCTCCACGGAGAGGGACCTGGGAGTCCTGGTTGACACTAAGTTAACCATGAGTSAGCAGTGTGCCCTCGTGGCCAAGAAGGCCAATGGGATCCTGGCTGCATCAGGAGGAGTGTTGCCAGCAGGTCAAGGGAGGTGATTCTGCCCCTCTCCTCAGCTCTGGTGAGGCCGCACCTGGAGTACTGGGGGCAGTTCTGGGCTCCCCAGTATAAGAGGGATGTGGAGCTTCTTGAGAGGGTCCAGAGAAGGGCAACCAGGATGATTAAGGGAATGGAACATCTCTCGTACGAGGAGAGGCTGAGTGAACTGGGCCTGTTTAACCTGGAGAAGAGAAGGCTCAGAGGGGATCTGATTAATGTGTATAAGTTCAGGAAGGGAGAATGCAGGGAGGAAGGGGACAAGCTGTTYTCACTGGTGGCCAGCGAYAGGAYGAGGGGTAATGGCCACAAGCTGRAGCACAGGAAGTTCCATCTCCAGGTGAGGAGSAACTTCTTTACTGTTAGGGTGACAGAGCAGTGGAACAGGCTGCCCAGGGRGGTTGTGGAGTCTCCTACTCTGGAGGTCTTCAAAACCCRYCTGGATGCCRCCCTGTGCCACATGCTCTAGGTGTGSCTGCTTGAGCAGGAAGGTTGGACTAGATGATCTCTAGAGGTCCCTTCCAACCGTGAATATTCTGTGATTCTGTGATTTCCTCTCTGTTCCTACCTGCAGTGTCTGCAGGGCTTGGGCTGCCTCCCACCCTGTCCATAGTCCCTGCCTGGCAGGGGCAACGTTGATCCTTTCCTCCTGGTTCTGGTGATCCAGCTTCTAGCTGCCCTCGGGAGCCTTTTCCTCATAGCAATGTCCTTGTGAGATGAAAGTGGTTCCTTACCCCCCAACTTCCAGAACCTCAAAAAAACCCAAGTTACAAAACAAATTTGTCTTTAGAGTAAGTGAGAGCATGACCAAAGAAGAATATATTCACTGAAGTGCCCTCTCTAGGACTGCCAGTATCTCTTCCCCACCAAAGAGGGTGCTTGAAGGGGGCACTGAGCTGCCTCACCAGAGGCCCCCGAACAACTGCGTGTTTAGGCCATCTACTTAAAGAATATAAGCTTTTAAAGCAAGCTTGAAGTGAGATCTTCGTAATGCTGATGCCATAGGTTGGCTTGTTTATTTACATAATTTTAGTTTTTTTGAAATACACGTTTCCACGTTTATTTTTATTCAGTGATATTTATGCTATTTAGGGCTTTCACAGCTCTGCTTTGCTGTGTGTAAATGCTCCCATTATTTCATTTTGGGGTTAAATGCCATAATTGTGTGTCAGTATTTATCTTTGCAGATAGAGCTTTAAAGCCTGAATGCTGAGCACTTGCTAGGTGCAGTTTTATTGTGTTGCTGGCCTGTGCATTTTAGCATGAAGCTGTTAAAGGCTTCTTGGATCTCAGATGTGTATTTTTTGGCAAAGCAGTGAATTCGAACCTTCTTTGCAACCAATTGATTTTGAATTCAAGACTTTTCAATGCTGCAAGCTTTTTGTTCTGTCTCTTGGCACTGGTGCTGGCAAGACTGGAGGTGTTTTTCAACTACCTTACAAAGGATTTACTCATTAGCCCTATTTTATGGGTTGAGCTAATTGTGGTTTGTCTTGCTGAGCAGTATTATGCAGTTTGGGTCAATTAAAGTGAATCCACTTACACGAACGGATGTTGTTCCAATGTGTAATATTGATTTGAGCTATAAAAGGAGAATGACTGGTTTGATTAGGTTTCTTTGTCTAAACAGTGCTTGAGATCTTACTTAGTGTACCAAACAGAAGCGGTCTCGTCGCTGATTTTAATTGCTGCTTAGGTTTGATTAACACCGGCTTGTGTAAGAGGTTATAACAGTTTCCCTGTGTGGAAGTGCTGAAAGGAGACAGAAGAGCAGGGCAAAATATTTTGCAACTCGGTTACACAGCCCTGTACTGCATGAATATCTCCTTGTGGGAAGACCTGGGTCTGCATCGGGTGGGACACTAGGGAATCCCATCCATCTGTCTCCTCAGGGACACGTGTGTGTGTATGTATGTGTTAATTAAGCTTTTGCCGTTCACAATTTATTGCAATATTTTCAGTTATTTCGTAGATGACATGCACTGGCAATAAAGGTTTAGGTTTGTTTTATTCCTGCCTGTTTCCTTGTGCTTCTGTTCCATACAGGAAAGTTCTTAGTATGGAATGGTGCACTATACGTTGGGAGGCAAGCTGTGAAATGGGTCTTGTGTATGATACAGACTTCAGCAAGGAGCTTGCAGTAGCAGAATGACTTMTGGAGTTTGTTTTTGTTGGTTCTGGTGAGGCTAATTCTATAGTAGTAAAAATAAAACTACTGTCACTTTGCAGAAAGCTTCTCCATTGCAATGTGAAATCTGGGGGATTCCATGGAGTCATGTGCGTTCCCAGCTCCTGAATTAACTGTGTATTTGGGTATCTCTTTACCTCTTGGACGGAAACTTAAAGTTAGGTGGCAAATTAATGTGTTTTTCCTGGCATTGGGATTAAGTTTTGTGGAAGTGCATGGAAATGTCAAAATGAAGAAAGTCAAACACCTTCTTGCATAAATCTGCATTATATGGGAATCATCCTGTTATATGTGTTTTTGTAATACTTCCTCAAATATTTATTTTTCTTTCAGAACATTTTTGGTTGCCACTTGCCATTTGTTTATAGGTATGTTTTTTCTCTGGCCTTATTTTTGATAAAGTAGTTCAGTAGTGTATGCAGGCAATGGAACAATACTGAGGTTAACCTCAGTAAGTTATATTGATAACCTGCAAATAAAATTCCTTTATCAAAGAGCAAAGCTCCATGTTCATAAACTGTAAATACTTGTATTTTACTTATTTTATAACACCTCCTAAAAATACTTGCAAAGCTTAGATTACCAATGATGATGCAAAGTACTTCATAAAAATAACAGCATAGTTGGAAGGCTGCTAATGGCCAGAGATGTTAGTCTGTGCAGTAACATAGTTTTGCTACCATATAGCTTCCATGAGTTTAAATATAGATATATTTTTTTCTTTTTTTTTCTTTTTTCTTTTTTTTTCTTTTTTTCTTTCAATATGTATCCTGAAATGCAGTTTATAAGGGGGGATTAAGAAAAACTTGCTGGTTCTTGGTTGTGCATTTGTGTTGTCTTATTGGTGCTGTTTAAAAATGGATAAAGTGGTGTTTGAGCTTTGAAAACACATTGAAGGCCATTGTAACTTTTTAATCTCTTTCTTCCCTAGGGTAAGTGTTGTGTGTATGAGCTGCAGTAAGCTGGGCTTTAATTTCTTCAATTACACATTGCTCTTTTAGCAATGTGAAAATGTTGCAAAACTCCTTACTTCCTTATGTCAGTGTTTTACAAATGCATATAGATGAGAATACGCTGGATCAGGAATCCAAAATGAGCCTGCTTAAATAATTCTCAAGATTTTCTGGTTCACGTGTAGTGATATTGAACTCTTTAGTCCTAGGCTTTAATTTGTGCCTGGTGCTGACCTGATGCTGTGCAGGGACACTCACTGCATCCCTTCATTCAATTCCCTCTAATTATCCCCAACTTCCTGGGGAGCCTGCTTAGAACTGGCCGTGAATGTTTGTTATTAAGTATTAAGATATTAGGCTACCCTGGCTACATGTAACAAAGTGGTTTTTAGCCTGCAAAATTTACATATAGATGATCAGGATAGGAAGCAGAAATTGTATTTTTCATGATTGTATTTAATGAAGTTGGAGCGAACACAGCAGCGTAATAAAACACTTTGACGGGGCCTTAAGCTTGGAGCAAACGGAGCATGGTGCGAGTTGTTGGATGTCAGTGCTTGCGGCGCGGTTCTGGTGTGTGAAATACCCTCGATGAGATCAATCAGATTCGTGGAGGACGGTGCTGCTTTTTGCTGGGCCCGTGTGTTAACGCTGCCTCTCGCCTCGCCAGGTTCACGTGCAAATGGCGGACGAAGCGGCCTGCGTCGGCCCAGCCCCCAGCGGCCAGAGCTACCTCAATATGGACGCCATCATGGGAGCCATTAGGAGAACCGGTGCCCAGGCGGTGAGTCCAAATGAGCGCACCTGCTGCGGCTGCTTCATGTCTACGGAGCAGCAAAGACAGAGTTTGAGGGTGTTTTCTAAAGGGGTGTGTGTGGCGGTGGAATTTGACTGAATTTGCTCTTGCGCTTGCTCCGTGTCGCGTGAGTGAAGTGTGTCCAAAATGGCTGCCGGGAATCAAAGGCTTTGCAGCATCTGGCGGTGCGGACTGCTGATCCTGCAGGTGGCTGCTGGATTCAGCCYTCACACCAGGGAGCAGCTTCAGTTCATTTCCAAATATGCTGGTGGTGGCGGGGGAAGAAAATCCCAATTAGTTTTGAGYGATAACCCTTTATATGCCATACTGGCTTTTTGGAATGCCTTGCAAAGTGTGTCCAAATAAAATTTTTTGTTTAAAGTTTGTTTTAATCTTAAAATCTGTAGGCTTAAATATACTTGCTGAAAGGTAAATGGTAGATCCTGTAATCATTTTTTCACAAGGCGCATAAAATATTAGCTTATCTTTATAAACATSGACTGCTCTGCCTTTCTTCATCCCAACTGGCCAGGGATTCAAAGCTTAACAGGTATCACCTATAAAAACTGTGTGCTTATGCTGAAATGCAYGGTGTTCTTTATTCTGCCAGTGAATTAACTGTGTATTACTCAAACTGCTGTACCACTTTAAAAATACATTTTTAAGGAAGTATTTGAGCAATGCTAATTATGCTGGAGTTGTCTTTGGTCAGCATTGTAATTTCTTTCAAACTACCTGTTTGGCTTTGGTAATTTCAGAGGCCAGAAAATTTCCTATCAGCCAAAAAACTACTGTTTCCTTCCTTAGGAGTTTCTGGACATGTAACCCAGATGTTTGTGCTCTTAGAGTGGAAGAAAAGGTGTATCCTTTGTCTCAAATATATTACTTCAATCAAAAGTTCTATGAGAATTGAAAAAAAAAAAAAAAAGGCAAAATGAAGTTTCCTACACTTCTCTGCATTGCAGACATATATATAAGTATATATAAAAAAGGCAGAAGGAAAATGACCCAAATGAGCGCCAGTGTCTGCAGGCAGTATCTTTCTCTTTAGTTAGGTTCTCATCAGCTTTGCTTCAGAAAAAAGCAGTTCAGCCAGTAGATTTTTATGGCTTGAGTCTGGACAGCTAAGTCAGTGTTTTAAGACAGTTTAAGGTATTCAAGTGGATCAAATGCTTGGTGGTATATTTTACCTCTCCTTGTATCTGAAAGCTCAATCAGCTTAATGTGTTCTGTTTTTGAAGGTACACCCAGGATACGGATTTCTGTCTGAAAACAGGGAATTTGCTAAACGTTTGGTAAGTTGCTTTTGCCTGCTTGGCTGTAAAGGATGGTCTGGGTGGTGTATGTTCATTCCAAGATATTTGAGAAATGAAAATACCAGTTCAAGGTAGGTTTACAGGATATTTTAAGATAAGGGACTTGTGTACTCCTTCTGTGCATGTTGGCGTGTTTTTTTTTTTTTTTTTCATTAGGAGGGTGGAATTGCAGATTTTCTCTGGGAAGAAGGAGGAGGTACCCTTTTAGCTTATGCCAGTAATTTCTGTAGGGCTGCCTGTGAAACCAGGTCACTGAAATGAGCTAGATTAAAAATATCTGTTTTTAAGTGATTATTTGGTTTTTCATAGCACAGCTGGCGAACAGCTGTATCAGCAGCCCTGAAAAGGTGCTGAACTACACTTTCAGGATGGGAATAGGAAGTCAGACGGTGGGACTTGGAAAATTGACTTCCCTCCTGGAAGTTGGGTACTGCGGAGCTGCTGCCTCCRAGGAGCAAACAGCGAGGTTTGCAAAGGGTGCTGTTTACACTTGACATCTGAATTTATAAGTTCTTTTCACAACCTCTTTACATCAGTGTTTTATGTATTACAAAAACTGCTATATAGGCTTTTTTTCTGATTTGCTCAAAACCTTTTGTGCAGGTGCTTATAACTCTTTCCTGGAGCATAAGTGGACAAATGCATGACTGGAGGTTGTGGGTGAAGTCACYCTGGGCTGTGCATGGTTGCCCAGTAGCTTCATTGAGATTCACATTGAGCAAATGCTGCATAGAAATCTTTAGTAAAAAGCTACTGTTGCCATCTTTGCTATGGAGTAAGTGGAGCGTATAGTTGACAAGTATATTTTAGGCAGAAGAATTTTATTTATTTTAAAATATATTTATTTATAATTTATATTAGATTATATTTATATTAAGATTTATAATTTTTATTTATTACTACTTTTTAAAAGTTGTACCTTTTCTGATGTGGCCACTAATGAAAAATGTTTATAAAGTGACAACTCTTGTATTTCTGCTTCCTTAGCCTTTGTGAAACAGCTGTTATTTTGGTATCTCCATGATGTTCATTTTGGATGGAGTTCTGATTGTAGCATAGAGCTTGTACTTATTCAGTGGATTATTTAGTGTTAGAGAATGAAGTCTCCTCATGTGGGAAATCATTATTTGGGAAAGAATGCTCCAATTTGTATATTTAGTCACAGTGCTTTTTAAAAGTTCRCGAATAGAAACTAGAACTGGTTCTGTGTGAAAGTAAATGCATCCTGTTAGTTGCCGGATGGTGGTGAATTTGAAAGGAATATTTGTCAGGATTTACCAAACTTCTTAAATGTTATTTCCATGTATTTTAGCAGTTTTCATTTCTTTTTCTTCTGCTTCATGTKCTGGAGTCTCACTTTGAAGGGAAGATTCCTTCTTTAATTTGTGACGAACTGTTCCCACTGGATTGCACCAGCAGGATAACTGGCTTAAGCTGGCAGTTCCTCTAAAAATAATTAATGAAACAGAAGTGCTTGCTCATGCTATTATGTTGTATGTTTTTCCTGCCAAATGTTAAATTCGATAGCTAATATTCCCAAACTGGGCATGTTTCCTAGGAATCTGGATGTTACTGGATGATGTGAATTACTATATTGGTAACAACTGAGCACTYTTCTGGTGGGATTAGGCCTAAGTGAAGCAAAACCACATTCCTTCCATTTCTATCATTTCTGTTCACTGAGATCCTTGAAATAATGAATTCTTAAATAACATGTGATGTCTAGAAATACATTAAAACTTAGGTTTCTTCTGTTATCTCAATGTGCTTTTAAAATGTTTTCTTGAGAAACTGCCTGTATTTTCACTAAAAATAAAGCAAGGTTCTTCTACTTTTTCTCAAAATATTTAAAGTTGCAAGATATGGTGCTTCCTGTTAATGGCTCTAGAATGGCAAACCCTAAAGCAATTGGTGAAATGGATTAAATTTTTTTGTGGGCTGTTTATCTCTCCAAGAACCTCATTTAGGAAGAAAATGCCTGCTGTTTTCCTTCCCTTTAATCACTACCAAATGTTACAAAATGGTTGAAGTTGCCAAGACTGTCTTGTCTTCATCCTTTGGGCATGTGTGTGTGCGCACATTTTTCTGCTTGGTTTGTGCACAAAACAGTGATGAAACTTGGGTTTCCTCCTTGGTGTGGATCAGCATTGGCCTSCTTACAGAAACAAGCTGAATGTCTAAACCCCGCAGTGTGTCTACAGCCATGGCCGTGAGCTCAAAGCTTTGCCACAASGCAGAGGGTCAGGCCACAGGTAGTCCTACTGCATGTGACTTGCACAGAAGTGAGGCTTTTTGCTCACTTTGCCTAACTGATGCACAGATTAAGTGCCTAGCTACAGTCTGGCCTTGTAAAATAATTTTTAATAAGTATATTACTGTATCTCCACCTTTTTTGAGAGTGGGGAAGAGCAYAAGCATGGCTGGGATTTCAAGTAACCGATTCATTGTTTACAAATGAGCTTTCAAGGAAAAAAAAGAGACTTTCAGAAGGTGAATATCTGGCATGCTGTTAATATTAATAGTGGTCCAGTAAAAAGTTGACGTATCCAATCACCTCTTTAGCTGCATCTGCTCTAGTCCCTACTGATAACCTACAAATGCAGTACAACAGTTTCCTGTCAAGTAAGTCTGTAACGGACTTCATAAAATGTAAGGTCAATATCTTGAAGACTGCTAATTAATATTTAATGTTTCTAAAAACTTAAGATAATGCTCATATTTAAGGTATAGTATGTGCAATAATAAAAAGTGCATTTTTGTATAAATGAATATAGTTCCTAATTAGCATGTAAAACAAGATTCTTCTATGAAATTTGAGCTATTCACTATGCAGCTTAGTGCTTTTTATAAGGAAAATGTATAAACTGAAACTGAAATTCAGTGGAMAAATTACTTGGAGCTTAGGCATGCCAGTATATTTACATATATAGTATTTTCCTTTAGTTGTTACWTAATATTCAATGCTGACAATGTTACCTGACAGTGTAGTTGAATGAGTAACTTCCTTCTTTTTAAAAAAGAGTTCATCTGTGTTGCCAGATGCTGTGCAGAGCTACAGGAACAATTTGCTCCTTCACTTCATAAAGAAATCTGCCAGTGACCCCTGTATTTAGGTTGGGTGGTTTAATGTTTCCCATTGCACAAAGTTAATCCGGCTGCTTTCTGAGAAGCTCCAACACCTCTGTTGTCTGCAGCCCTCTGAAGCTTGGCGAGGGCAGAGCCCTGAGTCTAAAGATGAGCCTTTTGGCCTGCCATTGGAATATGTACTTTCTGAAATGGCCATTTTCTCTTCCTTGCTGGCAAACCTAGAGAGCAGCTGTTACCATGGGTTGCTGAGCCACCTTCACTCCCTCTTCTCCCTACCTGGGAAAGCAGGGAATATGGGAGAAAACAACTGAGAGGGATCTGCTGTGGTGGTTCTTCCAGGGCCAGCGCTTCCTCCTGTGGGCCCAGTGAGGGTGGCAACTGGTGGCCTCTCAGCCAGCAGGTCAGGGCAGCTGGGTCTTGCTTCACGAGGAAGGTTAAGAGCTTCAGCCTCAACGCATGGGGACTCCTCAGTGTTGGGGTTGCTCAGGAGGGCATTGCTCATCACCTTTTTAATTAAAAGCAAAAAACAAATGAAGTTCTCTCTCAGAAGACTCTTGGGATGTTCTTCTGTTGCAAAGGAAAAGCAGTTCACAGGATTTGGATATCCTGCGTTTCTAGTTGTACAATAGCTAGAGTATTTCCTCCTCCCCCCAGAAACTCTATAATTTCTGCATAAAACAGGTCAAAGTTTAGGTTACAAACAATCCAGATTGTTTTTCTCATTTGGATGCAGCCTTGCCAGTGCTATTCTGGCCTCGTGTTTCAGGGAAAACATCACCTCACCACAGTGRCAGGACAGAGTGATTCCATCTTGGACTAAGACAAGGATCTTTGGGAGTTCATAAAGCTTTTTGTGGGCATCTTTTGTGCTCTTCTAGGAACTGCTGTTTGACATGGCTAAGGGAGGAGCGAAGCAGCCAGTGCTGTTTCTCCTTACCTTGGAAGCTAGATCAATGTTCCTGAACTTCAAATCAGTTTTTCTAAATACATGGATGCACAATGTATGGAGAAATASTTAATAGCATGTTTGTAAACAAAAGTTTGAGATCAAAAAGGTAAGTAAAACCATATCATACACCTTCTGAAGGGGACTTGTGTCTGAGCCTGTAATGCTCCACACAGATAACTCCACACAGAAACTAACTGCAGAAGTGTCACTTTTTAAACTTCAGCTCTTATAGTAGCAACATTCTTATTAAATTCTGTGTATGACAGCGTTATGCTTAAGCAGAGTGTGATGTTTCTTTRTATTGTCACTCAGCGTATGGTATCTTCTAGAAGACCTTTGGTGTGATTCTCGTGTTGTTCCTACCTACACTGACTTTCTACCCGATGTTTCACGTAACCGGTCAGTACCTGTGCTCTCCGAATGGGAAGCTGGTGTTTGGAATGAGCTTTTGGAGGCTCGATATCGAGAAGCTGCTTGTGTGAGATCCCATCCTTCGAGGAGCTGGAGGGCAGCCCCAGTTTGTCCATGGGCTCCTGCCTCAGGCCTGTGGGGCCTCCGTGCCGCCCAGAGCCCTCTGCTTGGGCCGCCCTGCGACCGAAGATCCCACAGGGTTCCCGTGTGGGGACAGCCCCGAGCTGCTCTCTGAAAAGGGCTTTCCAAGTGCCGTGGAGCTGGGGTGAGGTGCACATCTACGGGAAAAGCCTTGCAAGGCAGCAGCCTCCCACAGAAAGCGCTCTGGTCACCTTGTTTTCTGTTCTTAATTACCTCTGGTCTTTCTCCTTCTGTTCTGTTTGTGATCTTGTAATGCTGTTAATGGGTGACTGATTAGTATACTGAAGCAGAATGCTTCTGAATCTTGCTTGTATTTGTTGCAGTAACTCTCAAACTTCTATTTTCATAGAAACCTGTTTCATAGGAATCTGAATTAGAGTAAGCATTAAAT